ACTCCTTTAAATAGGAGGCCAGTGACACATTACAACGGACAAAAAAATTACACGAAAAATCACACGAAAATCATAGAATGAAAGTTATACACACTTCTTCAAAAAATCTGCAGGAGAACAAAACATTGGAGAGACGTTGCCCAGAATTTTCCAAACCAAAGCAGTCCCTCAGATCGAAGGTGCCTACGCCCAGAAGCCCTCAAATCAAAAGTGCCTACATCCAGGAAGTGCCCAGATCAGAAGTGCCTGCGCCCAGAAGTGCCTAGATCGAAAGTGCCTGTGCCCAGAAATCCCAGATTGAAAGTGCTCCCATCCAGCCAGTGCCCAAATCGAAGACTCAATCTACAGGTAAGAAAGGGTAAATTGTCCAACCTTACATTTGCGTAAACGCATTATTACTTGTTGTTACCTTTGACTTGCCATCTTAGACAGGATCGAAAGGCCTGGGTTTGGCACCCAGGTCACATTTTTCGTGTGCTAACATTTGCTGCAGATTTAGCCTGAAGAGACCCCAACAAGTGCAGGATCGAAGGGCCTGGGATTCAATACCCAGGCCCTGCATTTTTGTTTTGCTCACATACTTTTGCAGGTATAACATCCCAGATCGAAGGAGAGCCCTTCTCTGGATCGAACCCATTAGCGTGCTGGATCAAAAGAGGCATCTCATCCCTGGATCGAAAGCCATGACCTCCATGATCGAAGGGAAATCCTCTTCCCTGGATCGAAGGCTACTCACGCCTTACTGTCTGGCCCAATCGAAAGGACCAGGACCCTCTCTGGACCGAAGCAGTCCATTCCCTCCCTGGGTCAAAACTCCTTTTTTCCCTGGATCGAAGGATCCCTCCCGCACTTTATTTTTTTGTTTTTATTCTCATAGACTTCTTTTTATCTTTTAATTAACATTAAAATAAAAAAATCACAAAAAAACATTAGGTTAGTTTTTTATTCAAATTAATTTTGTAAATAAATTAATTAATTATTTTAACTTCATTTTATCAATTTAAAATAAACTAGACTTAGGAGTATTTAATTCAAATATCTTCTTAATCAAAAACAACAAAAAGAGTTCTTATTCTTAGGATTTTTTTTTAGATTCACGCGCGTTTATTTTATTGGGATGTAATAGCTTAAACTAAGACCTTCTTTTACTTTACTGTTTTTATTTCCCCCAATATTTTTGGACATGTAAATAATCCCCCTCCCCGAAAGCCTTGTAATAGCGGATTTACAATTCCCGCACTTTAAATTCCTGTACATATATTAACTGCTTAGATGTATGCTAACTAGGATTGTATGACAAGATTAACTCATAACTTAAAATCAACAGTAGTCCACCATGACATGCAAGAATAATATAACTGAAAATTGACACACTTGCACACGCCACTCCTAGGGTATACCTCATTTGGTTGCCTCGAACGTGGTCATTAAGTATAGGATGTTTTAGAGGTCGTCCTTTGTCCCAAGATCATAAGTTGCCTCGAAATGGTCGCCTCGATAAAAATGATCTAAGACATTAGGATTACCACTAAAGTGTCCTAACGTTGCTTTAGTGACCACACGTCCCTAAAATCGAATTGACCCGAAAACTCCAACGACGGTGCTACCTATTCCTCAATAGCAGGATAATACTGTCTAAAGGACATTTGCACAATTAAATTCCCTTTTGAGTAGGTAGAGGTTTTTAAGTACTTTCTCTCTTTTTTTAAAAAAAAAAACAAAAACAACTTTTCGCACCTACACTTTCAAAAAGTTTTCAAACAAACACTTCATACACTCTTGAGGACTGATACAAGAGTTACCTAGAAGTTTTTCAAACTAAACTTTTTTTCAAAACCCACAAACACAAAAGAAAAGCAAACATTTTTGAAAACATAGTGAGCAAGTACCTAAGAGCCCGTGGATAACCACGGATAGAAAGGGTGCTAACACCTTCCCTTTCTATAAATCTACCTCCCGAACCGAGAAACATTCACGAAAAGGAATTTTGATGTGCTTTTGTCCTTTCCTTGTTGGAGAACTTAAAAGACGGTGGCGACTCTTGTTTACCACGATATTTCGCGAACCAGCACTAAAAAACAGTCAGTTCTATTTCCACCGATCACAGTTGCTCTATAATTTTCCGATTGAATTCCATTTTTCCTATTTTCCTTCTTCTTGGTAACTTCCACGTTCTCTATCTCTCTTCCAACCCTTATTTTCTTTTCTTCTTACTGTTACTTCCCTTTTATTAATATTTCTCAAAACTAATATAATAACACTATAACTCTTATTATGTCTTAATGGGCTTAAATTCCTACACCCCCTTTCTACTACTTCTGATCACTAAAAATAAGTCCACATCAAATAATAATATTACTCTAATATTATTCTGCAACTTAATCGAATAAATTAATTCAAATAACCACAACACAACATCTATCATCATAACACAACTTTACAAATAATCCAAAAATAATTTAGTTAAATAATTAATTAAATTACGAGCGTTACACAAAACACAGGTCAATGATTGTATCGTGGAATGTCCCGGGGCTTAATAAACTGGGTAAGCTCAGAGAGGTTAGCTCCCGTCTCCAAGAGCTTCACTCTGATATTAATATCTTGGTATAAATAAGAGTAAAATATGCTCAAGCTACTCACATAAGAAATAAGTTGAATATTATGGGTAAGTTCATTGACAATTATCAGTTTCATGATAATGGAAGGATATGGGTGCAATGGAATCACGATAATATTGACATTAAAGTTATTAGTTGTACTAGTCAAATGATCCACTGTGGAGTATTTGACATTCATGGAAACTTTAGGTTTTGGTTAACTGCAATTTATGCTTTAAATAAACCGAAACAAAGGAATGTGTTATGGAGGGATATTGAGAAAATTCAGTAACAAGGTCCTTGGTGCCCAATGGGTGATTTTAATAATATTGTGAAGGCCCAAAATCGAATAGGGGAAATGGTTACTGAATTAAAGTATATGTATTTGCAAAAAATGAGGAGGAGGAAAGAGCTATTTGAGATGGATAGTCATGGAGATTATTTTACGTGGTCTAATAGACATACTGTGGGGACTGTTTATTCTATGATAGATAGGGTTCTGGGGAAAGTTGATTGGTTCCAAGCCTAATTGAACACTACCCTTAACATCCTTTATGATAATTCTATGTTTCTACATCAATTATACATCATTAGGGCATCATTATTCATCTCTAAATTATTGATTTCTCATCAAACAAAAATACATATATATCAATCACAAACAAAATAATTTCTTCCAAATCCAATCCCATATATTACTCATCATAAACCCTATTACAGAGTAAGAACCCCATCCTTACCTTGGATTGAAGGTTACTCTATAATTTTCCGATTGAATTCTATTTTGCCTCTTTTCCTTCTTCTTGGTAACTTCCACGTTCTCTATCTCTCTTCCAACCCTTATTTTCTTTTCTTCTTACTGTTACTTCCCTTTTCTTAATATTTCTCAAAACTAATATAATAACACTATAACTCTTATTATGTCTGAATGGGCTTAAATTCCTACACCCCCTCTTTACTACTTCTGATCACTAAAAATAAGTCCACATCAAATAATAGTATTACTCTAATATTATTCTACAACTTAATCGAATAAATTAATTCAAATTACCAAAACACAACATCTATCATCATAACACAACTTCACAAATAATCCAAAATTAATTTAGTTAAATAATTAATTAAATTACGTGCGTTACACAAAACACAAGTCAATGATTGTATCATGGAATGTCCAAGGTCTTAATAAACCGGGTAAGCTCAGAGAGATTAGCTCCCGTCTCCAAGAGCTTCACTCTGATATTAATATCTTGGTATAAACAAGAGTAAAATATGCTCAAGCTACTCACATAAGAAATAAGTTGAATATTGTGGGTAAGTTCATTGACAATTATCAGTTTCATGATAATGGAAGGATATGGATGCAATGGAATCACAATAATATTGACATTAAATGTATTAGTTGTACTAGTCAAATGATCCACTGTGGAGTATTTGACATTCATGGAAACTTTAGATTTTGTTTAACTGCAATTTATGCTTTAAATAAACCGAAACAAAGGAATGTGTTGTGGAGGGATATTGAGAAAATTCAGCAACAAGGTCCTTGGTGCCTAATGGGTGATTTTAATAATGTTGTGAAGGCCCAAAATCGAATAGGGGAAATGGTTACTGAATCAAAGTATATGTATTTGCAAAAAATGATGAGGATGAAAGAGCTATTTGAGATGGATAGTCGTGGAGATTATTTTATATGGTCTAATAGACATACTGTGGGGACTATTTATTCTATGATAGATATGGTCCTGGGGAAATTTGATTGGTTCCAAGCCTAACTGAACACTACCCTTAACATCCTTTATGATAATCCTATGTTTCTACATCAATTATACATCATTAGGGAATCATCATTCATCTCTAAATTATTTATTTCTCATCAAGCAATAATACATATATATCAATCACAAACAAAATAATTTCTTCCAAATCGAATCCTATATACTACTCATTATAAACCCTATTATAGAGTAAGAACCCCATCCTTACCTTGGATTGAAGGTTGCTCTATAATTTTCCGATTGAATTCCATTTTGCCTCTTTTCCTTCTTCTTGGTACCTTCCACGTTCTCTATCTCTCTTCCAACCCTTATTTTCTTTTCTTCTTACTGTTACTTCCCTTTTCTTAATATTTCTCAAGACTAATATAATAACACTATAACTCTTATTATGTCTTAATGGGCTTAAATTCCTACACCCCCTTTCTACTACTTCTGATCACTAAAAATAAGCCCACATCAAATAATAGTATTACTCTAATATTATTCTACAACTTAATCGAATAAATTAATTCAAATAACCACAACACAACATCTACCATCATAACACAACTTCACAAATAATCCAAAAATAATTTAGTTAAATTATTAATTAAATTACGGGCGTTACATAAAACACAGGTCAATGATTGTATCGTGGAATGTCCGGGGGCTTAATAAATCGGGTAAGCTAAGATAGATTAGCTCCCGTCTCTAAGAGCTTCACCCTGATATTAATATCTTGGTATAAACAAGAGTAAAATATGCTCAAGCTACTCACATAAGAAATAAGTTGAATATTATGGGTAAGTTCATTGACAATTATCAGTTTCATGATAATGGAAGGATATGGGTGTAATGGAATCACAATAATATTGACATTAAATTTATTAGTTGTACTAGTCAAATGATCCACTGTGGATTATTTGACATTCATGGAAACTTTAGGTTTTGGTTAACTGCAATTTATGCTTTAAATAAACCGAAACAAAGGAATGTGTTGTGGAGGGATATTGAGAAAATTCAGCAACAAGGTCCTTGGTGCCTAATGGGTGATTTTAATAATGTTGTGAAGGCCCAAAATCGAATAGGGGAAATGGTTACTGAATCAAAGTATATGTATTTGTAAAAATGATGAGGAGGAAAGAGCTATTTGAGATGGATAGTCGTGGAGATTATTTTATGTGGTCTAATAGACATACTGTGGGGACTATTTATTCTATGATAGATAGGGTCCTGGGGAAAGTTGATTGGTTCCAAGCCTAATTGAACACTACGCTTAACATTCTTCCCCCATCTATGTCTGATCATGCACTTCTTTACTTATCTAACCATATTCCACCTAGACATGTTCATAGGTTCCAATTCATTAATTGTATTACACAGACAGAGCATTATAAAGATGTTATTAAAAGCTGTTGGGATTTTCCTATGGAGGGTAGCCCAATGTTTGTGTTATGGAAGAAGCTAAGGAGACTTCAACCAGTCCTGAGAAAACTGAATAGACCTATGATTTATGCTAAAATAATATTTCCAAAGCCAGAAGTAATCTTATAAAGGCTCAGATGGATTTGATTGGGGACAAAATGAACAATCTTAAAATTGGGGAGGTGAAAAGTTGTACAAAAGATTTAATCAAATGGAATGATAATGATGAAGAAGTTATGAAGCAAAGAGCTAAAATTTAGTGGTTGAAATTATGGGACAAAAATAACTCCTACTTTCATGCCTCTATCAAGTCTAAACAAAATTTCATGAACATGAATTACTTGATCAAGGATGATGGAATTATCCTATCTACTCCTGCTGAGATTGTAGATGAAGTTCTCCAATTCTTTGGTGGTCTGATGGGGGAAAAGAGGCATATATTCAGTGTATTGATGTGGGGGTGATGCGTAGGGACACTCAATTAAACAGATCTCAGAGAGAGGCTCTTGAGAAGCCTGTAATGAAGCGGAAATTCTTATTATTCTCAAAGGCATAAAGGATTCCTCAGCCCCTGAAATAGATGGTTTCAGCTCTTGGTTCTTTAAGGATATCTTAGAAATTATAAAATAGGACATGACTATTGCAGTGCATGAATTTTTTGAAAAAGGAAAACTTTACAAAGCTTTCAACTGTACCTCTGTATCCCTTATCCCGAAGCATGAGTCTACTAAATCCATAAAGGACTTTCGGCCTATCTCTATGTGCGCCACTTTTTACAAAGTGATTTCGAGAATTATGACAACAAGGTTAGGTAGAATTATTGGTAGTATTATTAGTTCCAATCAAGCGACTTTTGTCCCAAGTCAACAAATCCACAGTCATATTATGTTAGCTTACGAATTAATCAAAGGGTACACTAGGAAGGGTGGAACTCCTAGATGTATGATTCAGCTTGATATGCAGGAATTGTATGACATGGTTGATTGGAAAGCTTTGGAGAGTTTTATGCAGGAAGTTGGTATCCCCCATAAATTCTTAAGCTGGATAATGAAAATTGTTTCATCAGTCTCCTACAAATTTAATGTTAATGGTTCCTATTCTAAGATCATGCAAGACAAATTAGGGATACATAATGGAATATGCGACCTTATTTTGCCGTATTTCTTTGTGCTCATAATGGAATATCTCCAACATAGTCTTCACGAAATGCAATTGAATCTAAATTTTAATCACCATTCTAAGTTTGAAAGGATGCAACTTATGAATATTATTTTTGAGGATGATGTTCTCCTTTTTCTAGAGGTTATTACAACTCTGTGGACCTCATGATTCAAACTCTTCATAAATTTTCAAATTCAACAGGTTCGCATCTCAATCCCTATAAGAGCAGAATATACTTTGGTGTTGTAGATGGTGAGAATAAAAAGGATATTATGTGTCTAATTGGTTTCAAGGAAGGTTACCTTCCTTTCAAGTATTTGGGAGTTTCACTTACTAGTAAAAAGCTGAATGCCTGCCATTACATGATCCTTGTTGAAAAAATCATCAATTGTACAAAGCATTGGTCAACCAAGTTGTTGAGCTATACTGGTAGACTTCATTTGATCAGAAGTATTTCCTTTGCTGTAACAAATTATTGGTTAATTTGCTTCCCTCTTCCCAAATCTGTTATCAGGAAAATTTACTCGATTTATTGCTCGTTTCTATGGATGGGGAAGAATGTTATAAGTAGGAAAGGTCTAGTCTCGTGGAAGCATGTTTGCAGACCTGTGAAACAAGGAGGTTTAAGGATCATTGATTTATCTACTTGGAATACTTGTACCATGTTGAAGCTCATGTGGAACATCTGTAACAAGGATGAAAGTCTTTGGATAAAATGGGTTCACACCTATTACCTAAAGGGGAAAAATGTGTTGGATATGCTGGAAAAAGTGGCAGTACATGGATAATGAGGAAAAGAATGCAGCAACAATATTTAATTCCCAAAATTCAGAATATGTGGGATTAAATATGCACAAAGAAAAAGTTTTAGATGAAAGAAACCTATGTGTCAGAAGTTGAATATCGAACATCAGAAATCGTCGGGTTTGATGGAACCGTTATCCATTCCTGAATAGAAATGAGATAGTATTTTGATGGATTTTGTATCTGGTTTACCCAAAACACCAAATAATTTTGAGGCTATTTAGGTTATTATGGATAGACTGGCGAAATTTGCTCACTTTATTCTAATGAGAATGGATTATCCATTAGAGAAGTTAGCAAAGCTGTATATTGAGAAGATTGTCAGTTTGCACGGTATTTCGTCTAACATTGTGTCAGATAAAGATACAAGGTTTACTTTGATATTTTGGGGGAGCTTAAAAAATACTTTGGGTACGAAGTTGCATTTAAGTTTTGCTTATCATCCAGAGACAGATGGTCAGACTGGGAGGATGATTCAGTTGCTTGAGGATCTTTTGAGATATCGTGTGTTGGAAAAAAAGAGGTGCTTGGGATAACTACTTGCCTTTAATTGAGTTTATTTACAACAACAGTTTCCATTCGAGTATCAGAATTGCACTGTTTGAAGCATTGTATGGTAGAAGGTGTAGGACACCATTGTGTTGGTATGAGTCGGGAGAGAGTATTGTGATTGGATCTGAGATAGTTCAACAGACTATTGATAAGATTAAGATGATTCAGGAGAAGATGAAGATTACTCAGAGTCGTCAAAAGAGAACCATTGAAAATAGAGGAAAGCACTTGAATTTCAAGAAGGAGATCATGTGTTTCTTTGAGTTACTGATCGAAAAAATAGCAAGTGTACTATTTTCACCGATGTTGTAATAATGGGATTTTCCCAAAGATCGATCTCGAGGACTACGTAAGAAATACTGAGCTTTATTATTAATTAAATTGAACAAAGAAATAGTTTTGGTTTGGTTGGATAAATCCTTGTACATATGTAAAAGAATAGAAAGTAAAAAATTACTTTTGACTTTTTAATAAAAATATGCTAGGGGGAATGTATGATTTTCCCTGAAATAACCTTCACTCTTTGATTTTTTCAACAAGTTTATCAACCTCAATTATCGATTCTTAAGATAATCTTTCCTTAATTCCTTAGTGAAAAACCTTTAACCTTCTACCCTAATTTCAATGTCCATTCAGATTAGTTCCGAGGTTAAGCATTCAATTATCAAGAACTATTCTGGTTATCATAGGATTTTCCTAGTCCTAGGTGAAATAATCTATAATATGATTATTTAGAAAACCTTAACACGGCTGTCCGACTCTAATGTGTTAAAAAATAGTGAAACCCTATGGTCCCATAGGATAAAACTATAAGTTCTTCTAAACAACCAAATTGATGCATAAAAACTGTTATGTTGAATAAAACAAGGAGATTAGTATTCTTGACATTGCAATCCTGCCGGCTTGTGGAGGATAGCATATTTCACTATATTCTCCAGTGTTTTATTCTAGGTTTCAACTTTAAATATAGTTTATTTATTTTTACCATGATTGTGTTACTGTATGCATGCTTTTATTTTATGTTATTACACAATAAAATTATGTTCGGCTAACTTTCCCGATACCAGTATGTGAGGTCCTAAACCGAAGGGGTTCGGTAATTAATTGGCATAAATATTTTACAAAAAGACTTTTCTGGTTTTGATTTCCAATTTCTATATTAAATTGTTTTGTCATGAGAGTAAAAGACATACTAAGGATAAAATCAACAGAGCGAGAGTTTGAGATTTTAACTAGATAGTGGTGATTGAACATTAATTTTAAATACAACGAGAGAGCTTTAAAATTAATTGGACTCTATTTGTTTTCAAAAAAATACTTTTAAATTTTGAATGACACAACGAGAGCGCTCATTTGAGTTTAATAATATGGTCTGAATCCATAGAAAGAAAGTGTGAGACAAGGGTTTTTAAATTAATAGTTTCCACTGAAACAGTGTTTTATTACTCAAACCATACCAATGACTTATTGAATCCCTAAATTCGATGTGATACGGTGGCAGAACCGACTGTTTTGGAAAATGCTGGTTTGCGTTTTATGTTTTGTGTTTGCAAAATGTCGCGGTAAGCAAGAGTCGCCACCTACTTTTATTTTATCCAACTGAAAAGGAAAAAAGTACAGAAAAATTCCTTTTTCGAGATATTCTGAGTACGGGGGGTAGATTATAGAAAGGTAAGGTGTTAGCACCCTTTCTATCCATGGTCTTCCATGGGCTCTTATGTACTTGCTCATCTTTTAAAATTGCTTATGTGTGTTTGTTTTGAAAAGTTTTTTGTTTTACTTCGTTTTAACCCTTGCTATTGTCTTCAAGAGTGTTACGAAGTGTTTTTGAAAACTTTGTTTGTAAAAAAGTGTTTGGTGTGAAAAAGTTCATTTTGAGAAAGTACTTACTAGCATCTACCTACTCGAAAAAAAGATTGTTTATGTTCTCGTTTCCTTTAGACAACGCTATCCTACTATTGAGAAGTAGGTAGCATCGTCGTTGGAGTTGTAAGGGTCTATTCGAAAAGGACGTACGATCACTAAAGAAATGTTAGGACGTCTTAGTAATAACCCTAGTGTCTTAAGATCATATTCGAGGTAACATTTTCGAGGCGACCTTTCCGAGGCAACATTTTCAAACGAGACATTTGATCTTGGTTTAGACAGGAGGGCAACCACTAAAACACCTTATACTTAATGATCGTTTACCGAAGGCAATCGAAGTGAGAGTATACCCTAAGAGTGAGCACGTGCGAGTGATTTGATTTCAATTATTATCTTTGCACATTAGGGTTTGTTATCCATTTTAAATTAACATGCAGTCTTGTCATACAATCCTATTATCATACATCTGACAGTTAATATTTGCGAGAATTAAAATGAGAGAAATAAAAACTATGCTATTACAAGGCTTCGGGGAGGGGGATTAATTACATAGCCAAAAACCCGTAAAATGATAAATAAAAGAAAACCTAGATTAAACTAATACATACCACGAGCAGTTACATTAATATTGCGAAAATAATAAAACGCGCGCGACGAATTAAATGAAAAGGAATTAGAGTTTTGACCCCATCTAAACCTAATTGAAACTTAAAGAGAAAAATCATTTTTTTTTGTTTTTGATTGTTTTGAGAAAATAAGATTTAATTAAATAAACAAAAACCTAATGACTAATTAATTTAAATTAAGAAAAATAATTAAATCAACCTATTTTTGTATTTTTGTTTTATTGAAAAGAAATAAAAATTAAATCACACGCTAACCTTAATTTTTCTAATTGATTTTAAATACATAAAAAAATTAGAATTAATCCTAAATTAAATCAACTAAAATTAAATTATTTGATGAAATAAAAAAACTAATTCTAAATTTGTGAAATTGATTTTATGATTTTTTTTGTGAAAAAAAAAGAAATTAGTTTTATTTAGAAAATAATTAAACAAATTGATTAAATAAAAGAAAATAGAAAAAAAGATGAAAATGGGCTTGGTAGTGTAGCAAGAAGGGGGGTGTTGATGGCAAATCTGAGCCCAAAAGCGCCTGGCGTTGTTTGACTTTTCCTGATCCTATGCACATGCTTGACTGGGGTGTATTGTGGACCCTCATGGATAAAGCGTTAGATCTGGCTTGTTGAAGATCTGCTGGCTGGATATTGAGGACATATGGTGGACTTATGAGACACATGTATACCTGATTACACAAAGAAAAATAATATGCAACAATATAGGGACCTGGGGATCAAACCCAGGTCCTTCAGCATTCATCCATTGCACGCTTGCCAGCTGAGCTAGTTATATTAGTTGTATAACTAATGAAAAAATAATATTATATGATAAAACAGTAAAGCTAAACTCTGAAACACGCGCAAATTTGAATGGGCCATTCATGGGGCACCATATTATCAACATCCTCATCATCTCCGTCGTTTTAGATCAAGAATTTTTACCTACGGACAAATGGGCGTAAGCACAGCCTTGTACCTTTCCAAAATCCTGTCCCTGCATGAAAAATCCATGGCCAATTGTCCCTATACACAAAAACCCTAAAAATGAAGCAAGAACCCTAACTATGGCATCTTGTTGTACAATTAATGAAAATGCAATTAAGTACCACCATTAGCTTGCAAATAACTCATGGATTAAGGATATGTCAATAAAACATGCTAACTATGCCAGAATCATGATATACAAATTCAAAAAAACATGGAAATCGTGGGACTCTTACAGTGCGTTTCTGGATGTTAGGAAGCTTGTTAGTGGTTGAGTCTTGATCCATGGATGTCCAACAATCGATTGGTGTGCCTGGAATGACTTGAGGAAGCCTGGAACTGGGAAATCAGTTTGCAACTTTTCCTTGAAATTTTGAGATTTGTTCTCTTCTTTGCACGCCTCCAATCCCTTTGTTTTTAGTATCCCATCCTTCCTTATGTATCCAAGAATGAATTAGGGTTGCAATTTGGTTTCAAATCTTCTCCAATTATGATCATTGATTCATGATTTGATTCTTGTGCAAATATTTCCAAATCAAGTGAAATACAATCTTTTTGTGTCCAAATGATCCTTGCATGATTTGATTCCATCTCCAGTTGTATAATAGACCTAAACATGCACAAAATCTCAAGCTTTGATTAGTTTTTGATATTTTCATGATTTTATTTTGATTTTATTTGATTTAATTAAAGTAAAATCAAAATAAATAACAAAAATAAAAGAATAACAAATGGAAGGGATCATGGGTCGTGGGTCACATTACAAACTCAGTTCAAGCATAAAAAGTTGGGCCCATTTGACAAAAATTGCAATTTTGGCCACATTTGACTTTTGGCAATTTTGCAAAAAGGTCAACTTTGCTAATGCATAACTCTCTCAATTTTGACCCTAGAGAGGTGTTCTTGGACTTTTTAGAAATATTAAGATGTCCTCTAAGCAACCCTTTTGGTCTCATCTCA